ACAAATGTAAATGTGCACGGCATCACCCTTCGTGCTTTATCACTCTTCCTCACCATATGAATAATATAAATGTGCACGGATCACCCTTCGTGCTTAATCTCTCTTTCCTCATCATATGCATCAATATAAATGTAAATGTGCACGGCATCACCTTTCGTGCTTTATCTTTCTTTCCTCACCATATGCATAAATATAAATGTAAAATGCACGACATCACCCTTAGTGCTTTATCACTCTTTCGTCACCCAACAATAGAAATAACAACATCCCGATAAGGAAATCAATAATAGAAACAATAACATCCCGGCAAGGGAAACAACAATAGAAACAATCACATCCCAGCAAGGGAATCAACAATAGAAACAATCATATCCCGGCAAGGGAATAAACAATAGGAACAATCACATCCCGGCGAGGGAATCAACAATAATCAATCTTGTTTCAACAATTAGCTTCGCAATATAGATCTCAACTTGAGTCAATACTCAACAACGATCAATTACCAAAAGAATATCATAAGTCTTGTCCAACATGAATAATCGTAAATTCAAGCATGAGTAGTACATGATAAGGATCACGGAAAAACCAAGAAGCACAATAACCTTAACAAAACAACAAGACATAATAAGCACGTGATAACTATACCGGTAACCACAATAATTGGACATGTAACATATTTGCACGAGTCATAAAGGAACTCACAATCAAGAAGTATCAAAACAATAAGGAAGGCAATCACTTCAATTAGGGAAAATAAGGGTCAAGTAACACGTAAGAATTAGAGGAAAGCTAACAAATCATATGGAGACTATAAAGGTAATTTAGGCAATTAGAAAACTCAATCATAACGGAATACTTTCCACATAATGAATATGAGGACCTAAGAACCCTAGAGGCAAATTCTCCACAAATAAGTCTGAGCACACACTCGTCACCTCGCGTGCACGGACTACAATTAGCATAGAAGACTCAAATCCTAAATGGAAGTCCCCCACACAAGGTTAGGCAAGATACTTACCTCAATCCGGCCAATTCAATACTCAATTTAGCTTTTCCTTTACCAATTCATCAGCGTTCGGCTCAATCTAGCAAAAAACGACTTGAATACATCTAACAATGCAAGAGAAAACAATTCCAATTAACAAAACTATGATTCTTATACAATTTGCAAAAAAATCAACAAAAGTCAACTCCCCGGGCCCGCACCTTGGAACCCAATAAAATTTACAAAAGCCGAATACCCATTCCGATACGAGTTCACCCATGCAAGAATTACCCAATTTCGATACCATTTGGTCCTCCAAACCATCATTTTACTATTTTTGAAGATTTCACAATTTTACCCGAATTTCATCCCAAATCACGAATCAAATGATGGACTCAATGATAGATGTATGTATTTTAGCCAAATCCGAGTTAAAATCAGTTACCCGATGAACTTCCTAAAAAACCTTCGAAAAATTGCCAAGATCCGAGCTCTCTAGGTCAAAATATGAAATAAAACCCTAAATATCGTATTTATAGTGCACCTCCCGGATTTCCATCACCGCTGACCGCGTAAAATCACTGCTGCAGCGCTTACCCCTCCGCGGTCGCGAAAAAGTAGCGCGATCCGCGCTTCTGGTGGCTGCACAAACAGGCCTTAGTATTTTGGCCATAACATTCTCTACAGATGTCCTAATTATTATTTCTTTATCTTTCTGAATACTAGACACGATGGGCTACAACTTTCATTTTTAATCATCTCAAAATTCCTTGTAGATCAAAAGATATAGGCTTCCGAAGTCGGACCAACGAACCTACGGATTCTTCATGACCGTGGCCGCGGACCGTTTTCCGCTACAACGGAAATTCCACCGCTACAGCGAAATATCACCGCTGACAGCGGTCCTTTTGGCTTCTGGGGGTGATGATTTACT